TACACGAATTCATAGTGAGACTTGCCAACATATACAAGAGAGATCATAAAATAAAAGCCTCCTGCTTAATTGATAGAAAATGTATTACGTCTTCAAGTTATCACAGAAGTCATCGGCATTCTCCTCACCGAACCCGGTTCTCGTGGACTACTCCGATAGCAGTCAAGCGCACAGTGTGTAATTCTCCCAGTCCCCCGGTGGCTAACAGTGACATACAAACGAAAGATGCGTTAACTTTCCAAGAAATCAAACTGATACATGATCAATGAAGGTCGGCCACTGCATGAGTATTCGCTTTGCACGCCGTTTGGGTGCTAAGCAACAGCCACAAGGACTCCTAATTCACTTATAGCAACGGGTAACACAGAGTCAGGATGTCGAATCTCAGACAGGATCTCTCAATTGGACAGACGGGAGATTGAGCCGGGCAACAGAGAGCCTGTCTGACATCAAAGTTGAATAGCGATGACAAAGATTGCGTTTGAAACTCTGGTCTGGAGCACAGCGATGAACATGATTGGAACTGTTTGATCACCGGGAATCAGTGGTATATTCCGTTGGTTACAAACGACTATCAGAGTGGTTTAGAATCAGTAATCCGAATTCGGGAAGATGGACGGCAAACGACAGCCGCATTAAACGGTCAGATCAACCCAAATCTATCAGGCAACTACAATCAAAGGAACATGGATAAGAGTGTGACTAAGCCTCGTGCAATCCGATGTCAGGAGCAATATAGGTAGCCAATCAACGGAGTGATAATGCGGTTCTATCCCGCGAGTAGGCAGTGCACAATAGGGTACCAATCGCTGGAAGTTTCTCCGTGTGCGAGGTGCTCATGTTTAATTCAAAATAAGTTTACCAAACAGTAAACAGACATACTTTCGATGGTACAGTGAGACTACGATCAAACGGGTCCGGGTTGGGAAACAGGTCGATTGGATTGCGTCGTCTGGGTATCAGAGACGGGACCAATTCGGCGAGGTAAACCTGTAACGAAAATAGGAGGAAGTACGGTAGTCACGAAATAGACGAAAAGAACTCTAACCAATCAGATTTTTTTTCTGGTACTACTGCATCGAATTTCTTTTTTTTCATTATCGCTACTGATATATATTCACTGGAGAAATTAGTAAATTGTTTATAATTCACTCTTTGGGTATACAGAGCGTTTTTATTTGAAACCATTTGAATTTCTCATACAAACTTCCGTAAGCTATACACGCTGTTTTCTACAAATAGGAAAGAAAGAAGATGCAAACACTGTGCATAAAAGAAGCCAAGACAAACCAGAAGGGAAGGCTTTTGGAGTATTCTCAGATGTTTCGATGAGCATTGGGATGTTATGAGAACTACTCCCCTAATGTAGAGTACAGGACTGACTTCAGAAACCACGCGCTAAACCCTTGATAGAATAGTTTAACCCGCAACGTAATGTTGCTAGCTCGCAATCCAAAGGGGTGGGGTTCTGTCGGCAGAATAATAAGTCCTTTGGTTGAGATCTCATATTCCGGGTACCCAATTAACCGGTTTTAGTTGAGTAGTCTACTTCGAATGATGAAAACAGTTTGCCATTTATCAGAAAAGTTTCATGAAATTCAGCGGTGTCCAACCAAATTTTCTGAGAGGTATCACCATGGAAAACAGTATGAAGAAATAAGTATCAAAACATAGCACAGAGAAGGATTTGAAGGAACACAAATGATATGCGTGGCTGTTGGTAAGATCAGATGGTAAAAATGTTTTTTCTTTGATTCATTTTCGGCTCCTTCTCCATCCATATTCTCATCAAACAAAACACATTCAATCTCCACCCGTACCAAACACCTTCCGGTTTCTGAATTGACAGTGAAGAGAAAGATTGAAGCCCGTTATATGCACAGATATTTGATGAAAATTAAAACACTGAAATTACAATATTAGGCTTCTTGCTTTGCTCTAAAAGATGGAAAATGCAAGCTCATTCGAGATAAAGAAAACAGCGAAAATGAACACGTACCTTGGTTGCGGCTAAATGCCTGGGGAATTGTGCTTGCATTCCAGGCGCACCAGGCTCAGCATTGAAAACCAAAAGCAACACCGTCAAATAAGCCGGATCTTCCCAGCTAGGGTCTGGGCCACTGAGCCACAAATGTGTACGAAGTAGGCTGGATAGGCATGTTTCCACAAACACCGAATGTCGTCGACCAACAGAGGCTGCACAACTAGGAACCGTGAAAATTTAAGAGGGAAATAACCAGACAGCAGAATTCACGAGCTGACGATTTTTACTGTATTGACTGGGGTGAAAATGGTGTTATCCGCAATGACATCAACCGTAGGCGAAGTTGAGGGCTTGAGGCCTTTCTGAGAACCAGAACAATTAATTGATGGATTTGGTTTTATGCTACTTATCAGTAGGCTAACACTTACGTGAGCAAATTCAGCAAGAAACATCAGTGAATGGATGCGGACTCTGCTAAATAAGTAAACCACCCGTGTTTAATAGTACCATGTCATTTGTTAAAAATCACAAAATTCATTATCCGTTAAATGGTAAATGGTAAACAAAAAAGAAGATAGAGCGAAATACTTTCATTCAAGCACGGCCGCACACTTGCTAATTCAGTGAACAAAATCAAACAATTTTACAACACATTCGACCCAAGTTGGGTCATCTCGGATCAATACTAATTTCGCGAAGATGAATCAATAATATTGCGTCGTACGGCAATATTCACTCTTTCCGTTCGTCTGATCCGCAGCCTATGGCCGTTTGAACATTGCTCACTGTGTATTTTACTGGTACATTCTTTTTCTTGCATTGATCAATGTTATTTTCAGTCACATATAAGTAGCAGAGTGAACTTGTAAATTGAGTTGTGACGCACGACTCGTGACTTATGGTTTGTGCTCAACGCCATTAAAATCCCGTGCTGTTGAAGCCGTGTGTTCTCTCTCGTGTGTTTGGGAGGCCTGAGAGAGCGATAGCCGACCGTGGATCCTGTGTTTCACCTAGGTAGCGTCCGCTCCTAGAACTATCATCCGCTCACGGACTTAGTGTTAGTCCGCTGTTCTCGTTTCGCGTGTGCTACTACTGTTATTGTGCTATACCTTGTGTTCTTTGTACTTGTGGTGTTCTGCGATATAGTGCTGTGCGACCTAATAGTAGGCAACGGATATACGCGGCGCAACACATAACAAATTGGCGACATAACACTTCCGCACGAACTCAATAACTATAAATATAAGCCAGCGGAGAGAGCGCGAAAAAGCGGAAAGAAATTAGCATAACCATGATATATAGTCCGGCTGCAATGCTTAAAACTCGGTGGGCTAGAACGAACTTGTCTTCGGAATGTAAAATTTCAACTGGAAACGCCTCAAAATCAGTCTGGTTAAGCGTGATTCCAATTCTTATCTAACTGGGAAGATCCCCTATTTGGCAGTCATGTTCTATCATCTGTAACTTCCCATTCCCACCGTTCACAACATAAAGCTTCCCGACTCACACGACAGTGGTAAGGATGGTGTTTGCTCTTTGATAAGTGTTTTCCTGTTGATGTTGGTGAGTTCTCCCAGCAGGAAGTGTTGTTCGCAGACGTTTCGTAGCCAAGCTTGGCAATATCATCAGTGCGACTTCGAAGCGCCAATCCCCAGTGGGACAGGTCTTATATAGTTTGAGGGTTGTGATTGGCTGTTTGCGTCCCGAGCTACAATCATTCCACATCATTTCAAGTGTTCTCCTGATTATGCATGTTTTACCGCATGAAAACCTTTACAGGAAACAGTGCCCAAAGTGACAACAACAGTGGTCAATATTCATCTTTTTTGAAACTGGATCAAGGAAAGAGGATAACTTTATGGATGGAGTCATAGAACCCCATAAAACCTTTTAGTAATAAGCGGATACGAATTCTAAATTTTAATTAGGCAGAAAGATGTGTTAAGACGTTCAGAAACCTTGCCGGTTCCTCTCCGATTCGTGCCCGGCCTCAAACCAACCTGTTTGTCTATAGCCCGACGCAACCCATTGAGCTTCGTGGAAACATTGCAGTAGATTAGATTAAGAAACTCTCCAAAGGATGTGATAAAGCGGTCCCATGACTTGCACCGGTGATACCGATACAACTGAAAAAGTCTGATTGTACACAAAATGCACACAATGAAGTCAGCAAGGCACAGTGACGATTGGCAATCCGGGTTCCACTTACCGCCACAAACTGTCCCGGTCTTGTGGATAACGGCGTAGATTGTGCAGCAGGCCGTCTAATAAACTGATCAGACACGGAGCAGAGGCCAGACAGCATCGTGAGAGCAACTGATGCAGACGTCGTCGAGTACGACCGGACCCCTCAGCCAGAGCGGATGTAATGATAGCTACTTGTTCACTTTGAAGTGGGACCTGTAGAAGGACGGAAAAAATGAATGCGATGTGAAAATCAGAAGATATAACCATCATTCACAGATAGGATTATGTAGCGCGCTTTAAAAAGGAACTTTTTACTCAATCAAGCAGACATAGATACACACAGAGATGTGAGCCATTTGGCGATAAGCAATCACCTAATTTGTTGATGTAAACCATGCTGACACTCGTTACGAGGGTTTTCGATTAAAATGTGGACATATTTGCTTACCCGTCTATAATAAAATATAAGCGCTTTTCCTAGTATAATTTTTGAGAGTATATTCATCACACACAGTCAACGTGTTCTGCACTTCAAAAATGCTTTGTAAGCACCGTGCACTTAATGCATCTGGGTTGGGAATCTAAAGCAGTACACTTACACCGAATCNGAAGGGATTCGAACCCGAACAAAAGCGATTGTTGATACGACTTCTTAATTAATTAGGCTACTCCGGTCGATTCTCACCACCCTATTACCTCTGCTGAGTGATACAATAACTATCTGTGATGAACACACTTCCATACCGAAAAAATCTCCCCAAACGGTTTCACAAAATAAATTCATGCCCAGTCGGGGCAGATGTCCTGTGGAGCTGCGGTGAGACCCATTTCAGAATGGGGTATCAGAGAGTCGATTATCGTCAGCTGAAGTCTGGCACTTTCAACGACAGTGAAACACGGATATTGTATCATGTAGTTTGGTTGTGTAGCGAGCTGGTAAGAACCAAAACAAGTGGTTAATGCGGCCCGATGGGCTCGGCAAACTGCAGAAGACTCCTAACAAGGATGAAACAACCATATATACGAAAGCAATGCTTCGGAGACATCTGCGGTCGAATGCAGAAAGTTGATTAGCATCCGCAGCGCGGAGGATTCAAGTCTCGTAACCATATAGCACAAACGATACGATCGATGGCGATGTACATTTTCCTCTTAAGTGAGAGAGCATGTCATGGCGGTGCTCCAGGTTGACAAAAACTACTCTAGTTTTCCTTATTCGTGTAGAAGACGGTTTGCGAAGAAATTGCCTTCCGATTTATCACATTAGGCGATCATAGTACAGGTATATGATTGGCCGATTGCAGCTAAGTTTAAAACGGTGACACAGGCGAGCAAGGGACTGGGAAGCGAATGCATTTTTCCAAATTGTCCACGGGAAATTTCAGCCGTGACCACACTCCCGAAATACGGAAAGCTCTCGGCCATCTCTAGTAGATCAGTACACAGATAGAATGCAGGGAAAAGCTTCGTCAGTCTTGACAAAGCGTGTTGCATTTGGATCGTGCAAAGTACATACTTTACGTGGATACATTGATCGTCAAGCAGGTCGTGGCGTGCTGGACTGTGTGTATTGTCAACCAACAAGGTGATAACATCGGTATAGTCTAGGCCAAAATATCTGTTACTTGTGATGAGTTGACATCCATCATTTGCTAAACCGGACAAAAAGCACTCGGTACAATATTCTGTATAATAAACTTGAAAAAGAATGAAATATAGGACGGTTCTATTGCATTCCCATGGAGGCGGCACAGGGTCGTGAAAGCTAGCGAAAGGCTTTTATTTGACCTGAGGTCTGATGATACAACTGTTTGAGGATCGGAACATACCGCTTAAGTGCTCCGTTTCTAAACACACAATTAAATAATGCGATACTGACGATGAAATCGAAGGCTACGCGAGTGTCTAATAACACAGAGATGGCTGGTCTCCGGAAAGCACGACGGTGCTCCAGCAACTGTCGGAGGATGAAGATTTGATAGATGCATCCATGACCGGCGCGAACTCTAGCATGCTCCTCCCGGTGACCCAGGTGAGACGAGACAGGTTACGAGAATATCCCGTGGCGGCAGCACGCTCCATCGCCGCGGTGTAGGTTGAGTCCAGGACATTCCACGGTTTCTGGGTAGGCTTACGATGGGTTCACACCTCATGACAAATTGAGTTACTGTTATTCGCCCTACCGACCAGGATTGACCAGCGTGCGTCAGGAAAGCACAGGGTATCATGACACAACCCGTTACATCACAAATCACCAGGCCCAAGAAACTTAGACCCGTCTTGAAAGGTAACAAATGCTGATTGATGTAATCAGGGTTATCTCTAGGTTGTCAGCTAGCGCATTTAGAATGGCGGTTGGGTAAGCTTCTTGAAACCATAAAACAGCTGTACACGGTGCTTCCAGGGATTTTCAGTGATGCGTGACTCAGCACGACGAGCGCACTGTCATCAACAAATGGAATCTCCTAAACCGTTCCATATAAAAAAACATTACTATGAACAACAATTGGTATTTTAAGTCCGGATGCAGCCTTTACATGAAATGGATTTATGTTCTGCAGCGTAAACGAACAATATCTGAAGTGTACTAAACACACAAACAAACAGATCGAACCCTACAGATGCAGACACTTTCTGACTGGGAGAGGAGTAGGGGGCAAAAGGTATACATGGTATGGGGTGTTTCGAAATCGACACTATACTCAAGGCAACTGTTCAAACCCTTGCCCGGAAGCCCAGGAACTGGGTTTGGTGAATAAGACAATAAAATGGGGAAATCATATTAAGCAGCACACATGTACACACACACAGTGAGGGGAGGGGCGGGCAGCTGCAAAGGAAGGACAAACCTGATCGCCCACAGCACCCAGGGCCCGAATGGCACTTAGCCGAACTTCTTGTATATCATCTGTGAGCATATCCACTAGTAAATCTTGACAGTTTGCGGCGAATCGGGCACTCAGTGAGGCTATACGAGTCACGGTGGCGAGAGTTGCACAGCGAACCTCTGTGAGGGGAACCAGAAACGCCAAAAAGGGAAGGAGATGACTGGGTCATTTCGGACCTGGTTTACACAAAGTTTGTAATACTACTCATAATAATAATAGTATTAGTAATAACAAAGACAACAATGGCGAACACGCATGTTTTCGACAGTTCGGTAGTAAAAGCAACGCTTAGGTGTGTTTGAGTATCCATATTTGAAACGATGTTTGTGATAGTTTGACGTGGTTGGAAAAGAACGATTTCGTTCAGACAATAGTTTAAAATATTCAAAGAAGTGTACGCATCAGTAAATTTGTGGGCCACGGAATCATGTTTAGTTATGCTCACCCTAGAGGGACAGTATCAGGTCGACGGCCAACATAGCAGGAGTGATTCTACGAAGTGCATTTCCGGAAGCAAAGTGATAGCTCTTAGTGATCGGTTGTTGTGAGATTACGTTTACGAACGCTTTTGAAGGGTTCGGTGGAATTGCGTGGATTATTCGAAGTGCACCATCTTCCATCGAATGTCTGGTGCACTAAGACTGCTCTTGAAACAGGTTTCCTCGCCCCCGTGCTCAACCCGAACGGGTTGTAAGTAGTTCATGATCGTTTGTGACCAACGTCTACACGATTTGCAAACACACA